GGGGCGGGGGGGGGGGGGGGGGGGGTGGGTATGTTTTTGGTGGGGGAGGTTGCATACCAGCTCTGAAGAACAATGGTTCAGTTATGGTTTCGGTTTACAGCAATGACCAGAATCGTCAAATCATTTGCTTTTGGGATCATCGGCTGCTGGTACTCCTGGGATTGTAATGGGTTGAAGCTGTAGCATTTCCACCGATGAAGAAACGAGCCAAGCAGCCGACCTACCCCAACACGACTCCTTGACTTTTTTTTTTTCTACGCCAATCAGTGAACATGTTGGAGTGTACTACTTCAAAATGGGTGATTTATTTGTATGTTTTTTGTGGGGGAGGGGGGATGCCACCCTTTAGTCTATGGTAGAATACATTTCTAGTGTGTATTTTAATTATTGGGAGTCCATTTTTACAATTTTTGTGAATGGTTGAAGCCCACCTAAATTTAGTGCATGGTTAAATTTGAAAAAAAGAACTTGTCCAGGAAGGCAGACAGAAGCCTCGTCCTGTTTTAAAACATATAATTAGTACAAGAACCAGTCCAATAATAAAGTGATTTAGTTGAAACATGGAAGTTTATGTACTGTGCGCCCAGAGCATACGATGAAAACTGACCAAGAATAATGTTTGAAGATGAAGGCCTTATGTGAACTGTACAATAGTTAATAAATTAAATCTTGTAAAAATGTAATGTGTGTGTTTGTGTTTTCTATTGTAGTCTTATTGACCCTTTGCATCTGTTTGTGTATGAAGTGATCTGAATAACTTGAAAAATAAGTGAGGTACCAACTTCCACTTTGGTATATGGTTGCATGGGTGCATTCACACCAGCACTGTTTAGTCCGCTTTAATCGAACTCTAGTCCATTTGCCTAGAAAGTCCGGTTCGTTTGGGGAGGTGTGAATGCGCCATCAAACTGATGTGGACCACAAAAGCGAACTCTTAGGTCTCTGTTCGGTTGAAGTGAACTCTAGCGCAGTTCGAATGCAGTGGGAATACAAGCAGACCGGAGACCGCTCCAAAAGCAGGAAGTGGACTACAACGCAGGGCAAACAAATGCACATTTCTCTTACCTCATGTGGAGCCGTCAGCTGCCTTGTGTGAAAAACAACATTCTCCATGGTCTTCTGCCTCATCTTCTGCTCAGGCTGAGTCCATTGTTGAAAAATTACGAAACAGAACTGCTAAAACCACTAACATTTGACGCCACTCCATTTTATATTAATTTCCAGAAGAAGTAAAATAAGAAGTGTCTTCTTCTGAGGTTTTTGTGTTGTTTCCTTCAGTAGTTCTTGGTGCAGCGCCACCACAGGCGAGGGGGGGACAGGTTGGTTCATTGACTCAGTGCAGTGTGAATGTGAACCACAGCAGCTGAAAATATAAACAAATGTCCTGAATTTTGGTCCCCAGTCGAACTGAGACTACTGGAATTGCGAGCAGGTCGTCGATTCATATCCTAGCTCGGGACCTTTCCGGGTGGAGTTTGCATGTTCTCTCCGTGCATGCGTGGGTTTTCTCCGGGTACTCCATTTTTCTCCCACATACCAAAAACATGCATGTTAGGCTGATTGGTGACTTGTCCCTTGGTGTGAGAGAGTGAATGGTTGTTTGTCTTGTTTGTCTCTATGTGTCCCTGTGATGGACTGGAGACCTGTCCAGGGTGTACCCCACCTCTCGCACAGTGACTGCTGGATATGGGCACCAGTGACCCCCGTGACCCGAAAGGGAAGAAGCAGGTAAAGATAATGGATGGATTCTGTTCAGGACCCTGAGATGACTTCTGTTGTCACTTGGCACTATATAAATAAACTGAACTGAATTAAATATAGTCTCAAATGATTGGGGTGGCCAAAGAATAATCTATTGTGGCCAAGGCCACCATTGGCCACCCCTTAACTCCACCGCTGCACCTGTTGGTGAACAAAATTGCTCTTTCCACTCGTCAGGATCTGTCACTCTGAGCTCCCTTGGACAAGCAAAAAAAAACAAACAAAAAAAACCAATTAAACCTACCTCTGTTCTTATACTTCAATCAATCAATCAATTTTATTTATAAAGCACTCTTCTAGAATTCTAGAATTGCGCCGCTCAAGGTGGCTGCATGTTGGAGCAGCTGTTACTTTCATTCTGAGATTTTGCTTTTGGAAACTTTAATTCCTCTTTTTCTGGATGTAAATCACATTTTTTGGATGAATGTTTCCTCTGGTATCAGATGCTGTGCAGCTGGAAGGATTTTTACTGAAACTTTTTTAGTTTTGGACATTTGTTATGATGCGTAACCATGGCAACAAGGCAGTTTTCTACAACCAACAGCAGCTGATTAACATCTCAAAAGCTCAAATAATATCTCAGCTACAGCCCCACATCTCAAATGAGTTGAAAGGATGTTCTGTGGACGCATTCTCATCTACCTGCCAGCTGTGCTCGAGTGCCTGACCACTGAGATCCTGGAATTAGCAGGAAACACGGCTCATGACAGCAGAAGGACAGGATCGTCCCTCAGCACCTACAATTGTCTGTCTGCAGCAACGAGGAGCTCGACAGACTGCTGGGAGGAGTGGCCATTGCTCCGGGAGGAGTTCTGTCCGGAATTAAGGCGATCCTACAGCCCGGGGAAACTGAGAGGCCAGCCGAGTCTGGGTGGATGGATCTGCAGCCAGTTTCTTAGGATCCACTGTGGGATGGACCTATAGCATCTCTTAATGAAATGAGGATAACCAGTTAGTACAACAAATAATTTCCCTCTGGGATTAATAAAGTATTTTTGAATTGAATTGAATTGAATTGAATTCATACTAAAAGCAACTCAAAGTGCTGTACAGATTATAAATAAAAACCCACAAGATAAACACACACACACAAAAACCACACAACTTTATGGAAAATGTATAGACCGAGGGATGATCCAGTTCAGGAAATGCAGTTTAAAAGATGGTCTTGAGCCTGCTCTTCAAAACAACAACATTCTCTGCGGCCCTCAGGTTCTCCAGCAGACTATTCCACAGACGGGGGCCATCGTACTGGAAAGAAGCCTCACTGTAAGTGTGAGTTAAAAACCACTAAAAGAATCTTAAAATCAATCGTGAGTCTTGAATATCTTGCACCAAAAACATTAACGTTTACTTGCATTCTCGATTCACTTGCAGTCCAGAACAACACTCATCTCATAAACTACAAACACTGACTATTCAAATACCCCAGCGTCGGGGGACATCGGCCTGTTTGAGTTATAACTTGGTTTGTTAAAGGCAGAAATTTGACAGACATGGTTAAAGTGCATTTTTTTAAACTCAATTTCATACATTTTGACTTTAGATGTGTACACTGTGAAAACAGAGGTGAAATATTAAGCATCCCTTTTGTTGTTTCAAAATGTATTCCTTTTGTGACAGAGGGGGGAAGAAGTGATCATAAAAGCAGTTTTGCAGCAGTAATGGCTGATAGTTTTCTGCTGCTATAAAACCAAGCGTGTGGCAGAAGCTGCATACTTCCTAATAAAAACCTAACATTCAGCACCAAAGTTGAACACAGCTGAAGATAAATGCATGTAAATCTGTAGCATCCCTAATAATAAGTGCATCACACGCTCCATGCAGAAACACCTGTATTGTATTAACCAGGAGTGATAGTATTTGGGCACTGATGCATACGGTTAACGGTTCTGTGAAACATCAATTATTCACAGCATATCCGTCATGAATGGCTGCTCCTGTAGGGAGAGGTTTATTCTCACACTATCTGCTGTCTCCTCTCAGTGGGTTGAGTATTATGAAGTCGAGACGCCATCTTGTGGCTGCATGGACATAGAGCTGACAAAGCAGGAGTGTAAACTGAAGGATGTCCATGACTTTTTACAAGTTCAGGTGCTTAAATAAGGAATTGGGCTTGTTAGTAAAATAAAAGTAGATATTTCTTCATTCAAAACAACTTGGTTACAAACAGAAGTCCTAAACTCCAGACAGCAGCAAATGTTTCAGAAGAATACAATTCATCTTTTTTTTACAGGCTCTGTATTAAAGGTGCAATAAGACATATTTAAGTTTCATTTACCTGTAGGACTTCCATTGTTTCCTTGTCAGTACTAAACATGTGCTAAACAATTTGCAGCTTATTTCAGCTCACTGTTTCAGCTTTCTGAGTTATTTAAAACAAAACATAAAGTTATCTCACTGCAGCCTTTGTTGGAACCGTAGAGTTCAATAAAACACTAGAGGCCGCACACGTCAGGTGAATTTGTGATTTATAACATATAAACTGCACTATTGCAATCGTTTATTATCTGGGTGTCCAA